AACTGGAATTCCATCACCTCCACTAGCTCTGTTTGTAGTAATACTTATTAAGGCCCCCTTGATATTACATTCCAGGATGTCTGGCTCTAGGTGAGTGACCACACCATTGTGGTTATCTGGGTCATTAGGATCTTTTTAATATAGTTTTTCTATGTATTCCTGCCACCTCTTCTTAATCTTCTGCTTCTGTTAGGTCCATACCATTTCTGTCTTTTATTGTGCCCATCTTTGCATGAAATATTCCTGTGGTATGTCTAATTTTCTTGAAGAGATCTCTAGTCTTTCCCATTCTATTGTTTTCCTCTGTTTGGAAGAGTAAAATACAAACTACAGAAGGAAAGGTTTGCAATTACATTTTATACAGATAAGAATTCAAATCATGAAACATTAATTATGACTAATAGGTTATTTTACATCTATAATCAAAACCCATAAGATGTGGTATCAAGGAGAAAAATCACAACAGTAATGGAAAATAACAACACCCCTCTCTCATTTCTTGATAGATAAATAAGCAAAAAATCAATGAGAATATAGGTTTAAATAACCAAAAGAAGAGACTTGACTTAATAGTTATATATAATCATCTGTATTTATATAGAATATGATTCCTTTCCTTATGCTCAGAGGATTTTAGCTGAAATAGTTCATACATTAGGCTACAAAGAAAATTTAATACATTCCCCAAAGCAGAAAACGTACAAAAAACAGTCTTGGACTACATGCACTGAAACCAGAAACTAGTCTCAAGAGATGTAAATTAGCAACAGTGAAAGTCAAGCATTTAAAAATTAAAATGAAACAAAACTATATTACTGAATGACTTGAGTCAAAGAAGCAAATACTGTTATACACTATTTGAAGGAGGATAATAAAAAGCATCTCTAATCAGAGATACATGAAAGTAATAGCATTAATTTCTTTCATTATAAAACAGAAAGCAAATCAAAATTAGATATTTATTTGTGGAAGCTCAAAACAGAAAAATGGGATAAAAATAAGGGAGTTAAGAATAAGAAAATAATTTTTAAAAATAAATTGGTAGCTTATAACACTAAAAAAAGCCCTGAAAGCTAGTTATAAAACATGATTATCTAATAATTGAATAATAAGAATAAATACTTGTTTTTCACTTGTAGGTATTGTTCTATGCAATGTGAGTGTGAGTGTGTGTGTGTGCTGTGCTTCGTCACTCAGTCATGTCTGACTCTTTGCAACCCCATGGAATGTAGCCCACCAGGCTCCTCTGTCCATGGGGTTCTCTGGGCAAGCATGCTGGAGTGGGTTGCCATGCTCCCCTCCAGGGGATCTTCCCAACCCAGGGATCAAACCCAGGCCTCCTGCATTGCAGAAAGATTCTTTACCATCTGAGCCACCAGGGAAGCCCATATATTTAAATATATATATACATATATATATATATATACATATATATATATATACTTATCCAATCCTTATAATGACCCTGTAAATTATTGCTAGTACCCTCAATTTACAATGAGGACCTTGAGGAGTAGAGAGTTTAGGTAACTTTTATCTAAAATCAGAAATATAGCAAGTGACAGAGCTGAGATGTAATCTCACCTGTCTCTTTTGAGTCAGGCCAGTTTCTCTGTAATCTTTCGACCCTTCAGTAAACAGTTGTCTTGGTGATGTCATCACTAACGTTGTTTTAGGAGACAGACCCAGAAATCCTTCTTGGGGGTCAGGGAAGATGTGGTTCGACTTCTTCACTGTTGAACCTAAGTTTCATGGATTTGATCTCATTGGGGTCAAATTTGGGCAGCATGACAGAGGGAGCTGGTGTCAGATAGACCCAGATGTGGGAGGAGAGAAGAGAGTTACACTGTGACTTCCTCTGAGCTGAAAGCGGAAGCCTGACCCAGTATTCTGTGTTCCATTTCCTGCCTTCTTTTTGGCTATTTGAACTTTTTTTTTGTATTCCATTTAAATTATATATCACGTTTTGGGCTTTACCTTTGTATATTTTGATTATGCTAGGGATTACAATAAGCATAATTAAATTTTTACAGTTTAATTGGAATCAATACTTTACCACTTGAAGTGGAATACAGAAATAATACCATCAGATTGGTCCCTTTACCCTTCACTTACTGACATATACTATATCTACATATACATACTTGGAGAACCTATGACAAAATGTCATTATTTTTGTTGTCTGTTGTCAAACATCTTTTCCAGGGCTCTACAAGAGAATAATTGTCCATTATATTAAGCACCCCTCATATCATTCTCCAACAAGGGGCTTCTCTACATCACTGCAGCCCCCCATTTCTTTTTGCACCCTCTCTCCTGGCCTCAAATATCAGGAATCCTGGAGTTTACATGAGGCAGGTCCATATCCTGGACCTTACTAAATTCTCAGGACCTGTGGCTTTCTGCTTGTGAATCTGTCACAAGCTGTGTTAAAGGGACTTCCCTTTTCCTTTGGAGGCAGCAGTAATAGGATCAAATGCACGTGTTCACAGTTACTTCCATTATGTTGTCCTTAGTGCCTGCACCTGAAAATCACCCAGGGTTTTGGACAAGCAGGGAATGGAGGACTCACATTTATTGGGATACCTCCCTCTCATATGTGTGCATTCTTCTATTAATAAAAGTGTCCTACTCAGCTCTGATGTCATATAGCCTCTATTGTCTCAGAAACATCTCTTTCTCTATACACAAATACACGTGCGTGTGCGCGCGCACACACACACACACACACACACATCCACTTCATTCCTAAACAGTACAGGTAATATATGTGTTTTCTCCTGGCATTTTAACTAGGAGTGTGTATGCTATGCTCCATATGTGAACACCAAGCAAGGTGACCAAATAATTTATCGTGCAAGCTGGGATACTTTTGACAGTGAAAGAGGAGGCTATTACTTACACCAAGACCTTATGAAGCACATCATAAACAGCATTTCAGCTGGGAATGAATGGCCAATGGTGATGTGGATACATCTGGGAGAAACTAGTGGAAACAGTCTTGACCTCAGAGGATTGAAAGGGCATGTAAGAGCAATCTCCAGGGATGAAACAATTCAACCATTCAGAATCCTGTCCCTAAGCTGAAAGGGGTTTCCCTGAGTGCAATCTCTTCTCATATTCACAACCGCTTGGCGAGTGAGATGTTATTATACCCACATCAGAGATAAAGAGGGCTTGGAGAGTGAACTCAAAATGTCCCCGCAGCCGGAACTTCGTAGAACTCACTCTAGCACTTTGCCCTCTCTGATTCCAGACACCAACCTGGAAGCTCTGTAATGTGGACTGCATACAAACTTTGACAGCGGTGGATCAGGGTTCAGATCCCTGGTGCTCTGCTAGCTCTGTGACCTTAGCTGACCTGCATGATCACAGCATTGTGAGGAAAGGTGCTTATGTTTATGCACCGCTAGTCATGCACCTTGCTCTGAGATAAATGCTTTCTGCAAGTCGTCACATTCATGCTTCCTTCTAACCCCATCGTGTAAGCACTATTATAAATCACAATTGGCAAATGAGAGAAATAGTCTGAAATAATCTGGAAAAGGGCCCAACGCATGGGAGATATTCAATAAATATTAGTTCTCCTTCTTCCCATATACAGATCAGAGCACGGTGTTAAGCCCTAAACAAGTCTGTGCTTCATAATATTGTCCTGGAGAATCTTCGGAGTGGTCCCTTTTCCTAATGAATATGCCGCCTCCTCCAGTTTTTCTAGAGGCTCAAGGATCGCTTGTATAATAATACGGTGTTCATTAATTTTTTCTTTTTAATGGCCAGAATCCCTCCCACTTCCTTGAAACCATTTTGTCCCATGCTGTGGTTGTGGCCATGCATGAGAAACAGCAGGTGGTGCCAGATGACAGATGGTGTGGGAGCCCGTTCCCGGTGGGAGGGGGCGCGAGCGAGCGAGCGAGCCAGCGGGCAGACAGCTGCCAGAAGCCCGCTCGCCGGCGCCTCGCTCTCGGAAGCTCCCCATCCAGACGCACGCAAGGCGCTGTCCTTTCAGCACCACAAGCTCCGGCTGAGGAGGCAGCACTCCTGGCCGTCCTCCTCCTCTTCATACTGGTCGACTCTGCTCTGACCCCCAAGAGTGCCGCACGGTAAGTAGGCATTCGTTTTTGCTATAGCCACTCCCCAATATCCTCCAACCCTTGCCCATCCCTTTCACCCCGACAACAACCCTATTTTGTCTAATAACGTTCCAATCAGCAGGATTGACAAGAAAAATTCAGTTGTGCTGGGCTTCTGGGGGTGGGGTGAGAACCCCGTTTGACTTCCAAGGGAGCTGTAAAGAAATAAATGTGATCTGTTTATTTAGTTGGCAATCTTGGAATACGGGGGTTGCTAACTTTCCATGGAACAAAAAAAAAAAAAAAATGGCCCTTTGCTATTGAGGAAATGGAGGCATTCCATGGCTGAATAAAAGGATCAGGTTCCAGCCAGTCCTTTTTTGTTTTAAAAAATTGTATCTCCTGTACAACCTACATATTGTGTAAAAGGGTATACTACACATAGAGGCATTGAATGTATTTATTGTATTTTCAGGAGATTAATGGGGGAAAAAAACCAAAATATAATAAAATAGCAATCAAGATGGTAAGGTGAAATTTATCATACTGCAGGATGACCCAGAATAATAGGATTTTTTTTTTCCGCTAAGAATTAGCTTTCCACTGAGATTATGTGATTATGTTAGCTGTGGTGTCTTGGCTATATTTTTTAAGGTTGTATATTTTGTGTGTAAGACTGGGATTCTCCTTGAGTTTCTCAAATTTGAAAGCTGGTAAGTGCCATTGGCAGGTGGCATTTCTTGATGATTAAAGAAGTTTTCCTGGATAATAGGTATCACGTCAGGAAATCTAGTGGAAGATCCATGCCTGATGTCTATGCTGAAGCCGCCAGAGTGGAGCTGTTGAGGGCAGCGCTGTCTTCTCCGTCGTCAGCCCTCTTTCCTGCCTCACTCCCCACTGTAACTAGAATTCTCCTGCTTGTCTTAGGTCTGGTCTGGGAAGAAAGGCGTCAGAATGGTGAAGCTGAACAGTAACCCCAGTGAGAAGGGAGCCAAACCACCTTCGGTTGAGGATGGCTTCCAGACCGTCCCTCTCATCACTCCCCTGGAGGTTAATCACTTACAGCTGCCTGCTCCGGAAAAGGTAAAGCAGGTGCTCTGTTCCTCATCAGCAGTCCCCGTGCTCCCCTCATCTCAGGAAATAAAGCAGCAAAAAAAGAAAAAAAGATTCCACCTCCCTCAAACCCTTTCATTCCCTTATCAGCCAGATCCGTTCCCTTTCTTGTAAAATGTAGTTATTCCTCCTAGAGACATGACACCTCTTATGTTGTTTCAGATTTATGGTAAGTGTTTGTTCATGTTTTTGTTCACATACGCAGGCAAAAAAATTAATCTTTCTTTTTAAAAGTTTTATCATAGTGAATGAATACTAATACGCTTGTAAATTTGAAGAAAAAGAAAATGGTCTTGATTATTTGGGGAAGATGTTTTAAAAATTGACAGTTACAAATCTGAGGACAGAGAATTGGATGCAGTCCAACAAGCATTTAGTTTGCACCTGCTAAAGCCCTGTTCCTACCCTGGAAGTTGGTTATAAAAACACACGTTACAAAATCCCTCATCATTATAAGACTTAAATTAATATAAAGCATCATGGTAAATGCAATGCCCGAGCATTATGAAGACTGTGAGATCACTGGGGTGAAAACAACTGAATTCTGTTGTGGCAGAGAGGGAACTGGGAGGACAGGCTAGGTCACTGCAGAGGGGAACATTTGAATTTGGCTTTTAAAGGTGAGTAAAATCCTCCCAGGTAGGCCATTGGAGGGAAAGGCGTTTAAGGCAAAGGGCACAAGTGTGCAAAGCATTGAGGGCATTTGGGAAATAGCATGACTGGAATAGAGTGTGTTTTGGGGAGGCGTGGCTGGAAATGAGTGACTGGCTGATGGCACATCTCCTGACATGGGAGTAGTCTATGAAGAATGGAGGTGAGCATTTATACAAAAGTGGGGGAGTTATTCTATGAGCACAGGTGGGAGAAGCGATATTAAGATCCCTCTGAGAGAACTTGGGGTTTTATAATGTGAGCTTTTGCATGCCATAAGAGATAGATTAGGAGGCAAATGACGAAGTTCCTTAGCTGAAGAGTGAACAATGGATCATTCCATTTGTTTGATTTTCTCATTGGCATCTCCAGGAGGGCATTGTGTGTCTTAACCAATTGGCTCTATCCAATGAACAGAAGAGAAGCCAAAACTAGATAAAGGGCCTGGCTGATTGGCTGAGGGCTGAGCCATCTGTTTGAAAGTGCAGAGGTTGTCATTATGAAAATATGCATAGGGGTTTCAGAAATAAAGAATCACTGAGCCATCCTGAGAAACTGATAAGGCCTTTTGAAAATAAAATTTGTTAACAGGCAGTTAGTGCTAAAGAACTGTGAAGGAGTAAGATTAATTGGGTATTAGTTACCTGTATAGCAGAGGTTCTCAGTTTGTGACTGTATATTAGAGTTAACTGGGGAAACTTTGAAAATCTTGATACCTAGGCCACACCCCAGAACAATTATATCAGAATCTCTGGGGGGGGTGAGACCCAAGCATCACTATTAATCAAACCTTCCCAGGTGGACTCCTGTGTGCCGCCAAAGTTGAGAACCACTGTGCTAGATGCACATTACCCAGGGATTATACATCCATCCACATTCTCAGGCAAAAGGTGGAGGAGGATCAGAGAAATCTGGTGATTTATTCAAACCCACAGAGGAGTAAGTGGCATTGCTGGAATTTGATTGTAGATGTAGTGGAAATTGAGGAGAAACAGAGGGGATATTCGCTCAAGGTTTTGCGAAGTTTTAGGAAGAATCTTTCCCCTTTAGTCTCAAGGATCTTCACGTCCCTGAGAGGCATGCAGGGAAAAGGGACTGTGGTGAGGTTACCTCTCCCCTTAACTCTACACACACCTGCGGGTCATCCAGAGATATCATGGTCTCTGTCACCCCTTACTCCTCACCCCATGTCCCACCTCCAAGGACTTCTTTCTCTCCTTGAGACAAGAAATGTGCCTGATAACCACTAAGCCAGTCCAGATGTGCTAGAAAACTGCCCCAAAGCCTGAAGAAGATAAGTACATTATGGACTTGCATGCATGGGAAGGGAAACCAGTGCATCCTGATGGGTGAGAATCCGTGAATGGACACATCCCCCAGGGCACCTCTCAGACTTTGGCAGGTGTTCTTGACAGAGTCTTCATGCCAGGTGGACCTCAGTGTCCTCTGTGAAGTGAGGAGGACCACACCTACTTCATGCTAGTCGGGGCAGTGTTAGATCTGGCCTTATATAGACAGTGCCTGGCACAAAGCTAACTGTAAGAGAATAATAACTATCATTTTCATGTGCTGCTTATGCTAGATTCTAAGTCAGAGGTACACACATACACACACACAGAGAATTTTCTTTCAACCTTTCAGTAGTTAATAGGATCTAATAAGGGAATTGCTCCTTTAATCCAGTTTTTAAAGATGATGAAACTCAGGCATGGTGGTAAAGTCACTTCCCAAATCCCAGAGTTGGTAAGCCTCCTGGAGAACCCAGATCCCAGGCAGTCCTGTTCTAGAAACTTCCACCTCAGCAGGAATAGGGGGCCAGCTGGCTCAGCCTCAGCCTCCTCATGGGTAGAGGGGGCACTCAACCTTACAGGGCTTTCGAGAAGGCGAGGAGAGTTCTGGCACATTTGTCAGCTCTCTCATTAGGTCCAGCCAGATGGTGAGGGTTTAAAACTAAAAGGGTTATTGGAAAGACATATATTAGACCCAAATATAATGAATTTTCTTCCTGAAAACGTAAAATACAGAGTGTGCTTTGGCATGTAATACTGACAATTATTTCTAGATTTGTCCACTGAATACTCTTTGTATAGAGTATGAGCTTCTGGGGGAAAGGTTTTGGAGGCTAAGTGGAGAGGATGAGTATGTCTGAAGCTCTGGGCTAGAAATGGGCCATGCAGGGCATTCACAGCTATGGTTTCAGTTAATCTTCCCAGCAACCCTATGAGGTGGGTCTTAGTGCACCCATTTCACTGGTGGGGAAACTGAGGCTCAGATCAATAGACTTGCCCAAGCTTCACAGAGAGAGTGGAAGAGCTGAGTTTGGAAGCCCAGGGCCCCGACACCTCGGTTTCCCCTTCTGCACCTTGCTGCCTTCAATAACGAGAAGCTTCCCACCCCAGGCAGTGCTTCCTCAGACTCTACATCTCTTCATCCCTGGCCGAGGCTCCCTGTTGTGCTCCCTTGGACCTGCAGGTGAGGCCTGGGGCCATCCTGGAAAGAGGACATCATGGACTCCAGTGCTCCCCCCCGCCAATGCTGGAGAGCTGTGCCTACCTTGGGAGAGGAGGCCCCTCCTAAGGTGGCTGTTCCCCCACCTCTTCCATCACTCTGAGCAGCCCTCCACACCACACCTGTGGTAGTGCCCCCAGAGTTGTGATCAGTCCTTTTCCCTTGGAAAGCCTTTGCAGTGCTCCCCACAGGGTAGAGTCCTCCAGTCCTGACCTTGACACTCCAGGTCCTCCACCACCTGCTGCACCGGCTTCCATCCCTACCACTTCTCACTTGGTACCTTGAACACCAGCGTGGCAGAGCTACCTTGAGCCTTTGTTCTCAGCCAGGGGGTGAGTCCCCTCCCTGCTAGAGGGACGTTTGGCTGTGTCTGGAGACACTTTTTGGTTGTGACAATGGGGGGATGCTTTGGGCCAGAAATGCTGGTAAATACCCTACAATGCACAAAATACTGCCCCTGAAGAATTGTCCTGCCCAAAATGTCTACAGTGCTGAGGTTGAAAAACCAGCCCTGGAATTTTCCATACTCTTCAGGGTGTTTCTTGCTCCCTCCTCCTTGCCCAGGCCATTCCTTCTGCCCAGAATCCCCTGCTTGTCCCTTTTCCTGTCTGATAAGCCAGTGCTCGTGGCAGCTCTCCTGGACACCCTCCCTGGCCACTCATAATCATAGCAAAGGTTATACTCACTATGCTGGAAGGAACTCACTCATCCAGCATTTCCATGGGGCACCTTCTATGTGCTGGGCACTATGTTAGGCTATACATACACAGCCAGGAAAAGTCAGGCATGATCATTGCTTTCATGGAGCTTCTAGTCCCAGTGGGAAAGAGGGTCTTCAAACAGGCCAGCACACAAATAGAAGTTCAGAGATGCAACTTGTAAGATGGGCTATTAAGAAACAAGTAAGGTGCTAGATTGTAAAGACTAAGACTTAAGAGGGCTTAATTATGGTGGAACAGTGGTCAGGGAAGGTCCTTCTGAAGAAGGATCCCTGGCTGAGAGCTGGAGAGTGGGTAGGTGAGGGGGGTAAGGCAGAGGGGTCAGCATGCAGACAGACCCCGAGGGGAGAAGAAGGGCAGTCAGGAGGTCGAATTGCCTGGGTGCGCTGAGTGAGGGGGGAGGGATGTGGAGCACGAGGTGCAGTGGACAGCGGTTCACGTGGTTCATTTTTGGAAGGGGTTTAGGAAGTCGAGTAACAGAATCAGATTTCTATTTTAGGGAGATCCCTCGGGCTGCTGTGGGCTACCCTACGGCCTGGTCTCTTCTTCCTCCTTTCTTCCAATCCATCTTCCAAATGAGGCAGCACCAGAGAAGTTTCCCCCAAAGAGAGGCTACTGGGTTTCTAGCTGTACCCTCCCCTCCATGCGTCGGGGAAGAGAAGAGTGGAGGGCAGGAGATCGACTGGAAAGTCTCTGCTGTGTTTGTGATTGGCGATAGAAATGGGGAGATGGGCAGACTGATTATGACAGTGCTGGGTCACCCTGTGGAGTTTTTCCCACTAGGCCTGAAGGTCCTGGCTCTGTCTCATCTTTGTAGCCTTGGTTCTGGCATATGGTGGGAAACTGGAAATGATGGCTGAATGAGACCCCCGGCCCCTTGCCTAGTGTAATTAAAGGTAGGCTTAGTTAATCCATTTAAGTCTAAGCAGTTTGGTAGCTCTTTCCAGGCCATGGGAGCAAACTCTTGAGAAGCTGGAACATCAATCTGTAGAAACCAAATTCCAGGATGTGCCTTTGGTTTATTTACGTGACCACGATAACCCAGATAACTGCACAACTCCTCTATGAGGTCATGACCAGTATGTCCATATG